TCCTTTCCCGTGGACTTCTTTCAATTCTGTCACTTCTTTCTCATTTCAAATTGAATTAATGTTTGTTTTTGTTTTTTTTTCTATTTTAAAGGTGGATGAACCGGCTTGGATTGGCAGCTATTGGCTACACACCGGATGACAAAGTGCCACGTCCAGATGAAGGTGAGACAAACAGACTCTGATGTAAAGCGTTGGATATTCTTCTCAGCTTCAAATGTTCTTTCCTACTTTTCTCAACTTTAGACTACTGGAGTGAGAGTGATCAAGATGAGGTTGATGGCTCTATGACACTCAAACAAGAGGGACCATCCTCTCTCTGCGATACTTACCACCGCACACCATCAGTGAGTACAAACTTAACAACGTCCCGCTCTGATGAAATATTTTATTCAAAAGATACCCACAGTTTTAAGTGCTTTCGACATCAATAAAACACAAGATCATCTGGTTCGAGAAGCAGCCAAGCCCATGCTGTGTGTCATGCTGCCAAGTCACACTCAGACCAATAGATGGCAGCAACTTGTTCTCATTCAGCTCAGTTCGTGTATGACCCTGTATTACCTTCAACCATATTTCTATCCTTTGTTTGGTTGCGACAGAACCATTATTTACTGTACGTGTGTGACACTGAAAATTGAATGACAAGAACACAAAAAAGACCTCTACTCAAACAAAGTTGTCTTATGATAAGTAAGTGCGTGCCAGGAAGGAAGCTGCCATCACGTTAAACATTTACGATAGCTGACATAGCTGTTGTAAACTGCTCTCACACTCACTAGTGACAACAAGCTACATCGCGGTTTATCATTCAGTGAGCTAACCTAAACTGTACCACTTGGTGGACGGATGTCTTTCGAGGAGATTTGGACATTGTGTTGAGTTGTTACCATTCTCAGTTTAGCCACATAACAGCCATGTCCACCATTTTTGGCGATACTCATCTGACATCTCATTGCTTTTTTGCTCTCATCTTTTGGTCTCTTTACGCTCTGCTTTTTTCTGTTTCCTCCTTTCACTCCTCATCTCCTTATTGTTTAAAAACCCACTTTTCCTCTCATTGTCACCCACCCGTGCCACACGCCCTACTTACACATGCCCACAAAGTCTAACCTCCTCCACACTTATGACCAATTGCCCCGCTCTGTCAGCTCCATGAGCCTCATGCGCTCCACCCCATCTCCCCATCCTCTACCAATGAGTGCCTCCACCTCCCCCGTCCCTCCACAGATGGTCTCTTCCACCTCCCCTCTTCCTCTGCAGGTCAATTCTTCTAGCCCCTTCCCAGAGCCAAAGCATGGGCGACATTTTTCCAGCGAGTCAACCCACTCCCACTCATCTGCAGAAGACCAGCGTGGAGAGGGATTGGGCATGGGCACGGGAACAGGCAGCACCAGTACCCACTCCTCAGGTTGCCGGTCTTCACATCGTGAGCGTCGTTCCTGGCAGGACCTCATTGAGACCCCTCTAACCAGCGCCGGGCTACATTTCCTCCAGACAGCACCGGGAGAAAATGATTATACTGGCCTAATGGGAAGCATGGCTGGGGAGATGGGGCTGTATGGAGGACTTGGCAGACAGGGCATGTCGCCAGAGAGACGCCGGCAGGCTACACTGCCAGTACGAAGACATCACGCCACAGAGAGAGACAGGGATCGGGATGGGCCTTTCCCTCTGGAGCGTGGTCCATACACCCACAGCTACACGCATCGACGTTCCCATAAGCAGCGCAGTCAGAGTCTGCCTAGAAATAGGGACCCATTTGGAGGAAAGCTGATACACTCATCGCCTCACATGGAGGAGAGAAGTGAAGATGAGGAGGCAGAGAGGCAGGCCGCAGATATGCTTGAGGGTGAAGAGGGTAAGAAAGTTACACCTTTTCTTTATCATAAGAAAGGATAACAAATGATACAGGGTACCGT